GCGCCCAGATATCTGACATCCGATCCCTTCCTCCCAGTCCTTCCCACTTGGCATCGCTCGGACGTGCGCATTTTTCCTTCGGCGAGGACCATCGAGGAGCATCCTTGATCATGTGGCGAAAAAAACACGCACGAAACCGAGACAAACACAGGGAATAGACGTCCGAGCGATGGCCAGCCCATCACGCTGCTGTTTGTCATTATCAGCGGAATCAGCGAACGACCGCGTCGTCTTATGCGCAATTGAAAAGGGTGAGCTGCGCACATAGGAGGAGGCGGCGGGTGAGCAGGAGGATCGGATCGGATCGGATTGGATGCTCGCATAGGGGGGCCACAGCCGGGGGCGTGTCATTGCATTCGAATGACAGCAGGCCAAAGGGCCCGCACATGGCGGCCAAAAGGCCACAGTGAACAGGGAGAAGCGGAGGAGGACAACTACGGGGGGGGGATGTCATGGCCGGGGCGATGCCTGGCCGCTTTTTATGGCCCCCTTCTCCCGCTATCTCAGGCGCCATGGAGGGCATGGAGGGTCGGTGCCCCGAAGCGCAGCGCGGCCGCCGTCGGCAGCTGACGGCGCACGGCCGCCGCTCTTCCCAGCTGCTGGCCGCTGGGCGCCCCTTTCTTTGTCTTTCCAGCAGCTGGCCGCTGGGCACCCGAAGGATTGCAAAACAAACCCGCACTGCAAAAAAACCCAGGATTGAAGGATTGAAGGTTTTTTTGCAATCCAGGTTTTTTTTTTTTGCAATCCAGGGTTTTTTTGCATTCCTTTGTCTTCTGCATGGGGCGCCGTCTTCTTGATAGGCGACTTCCTCGGACCGGAGGCGACTTGCCTGCCTGTCACGCAGGCGAGTGGCAGCAACCCTTCGGCGCCTCGCGCCGCTGCTGCCTGCTGCCGGTGAGGAGCCAGGCCGCTCCGCGAGGCCCGCAGTGGCTCGTGGGGGTGTGGCATCGGTCCACCTTTCTCGCACGCCTGGAGGCCTCGCGTGCGCGGGCCTGGGTCTCCTTTCGTCCTTCAGATCACCTGCATGATCTCCCGCATGCTATCCTTGAACAGGCCAGGCGGTTGTGGGATTTCACCTTTCCGTCTGGTCTTCTTCGTTGTGAGGGTGCTCGTGCGGATGTGGCGTCTCGCCACCTTTCTCGCACTCAATATGTCAGGTTCTTCACTGCTGTCGTTGTCTGGCTGGTTGGTTGGGGATGGGTCAGTTCTTCCAGCGTTCTGCATCTTGCCTTGAGGCATCACTGTCCTGCTTGTCACGCAGGAAACTGGCAGCAACTCTTCGGCTCTTGCGCGCTGTTGCTGCCAGCCTGGGAGCTTGGCCGCTCCTTGAGGCCTGGCTGTTGGCTCGTGCGGGCGTGGCGTCTCACCACCTTTCTCGCACGCCTGGTCAGGCCTCGCGTCTTTTGGCCTGGGCCTCGTTGTTGTTCTTCATGTTCCGTTGCTTGTTCTCATGCATGAGCTCCCTGAGAAGGCCAGACGGATGTGGTCTCCCACCTGTCGCGTTTGGTTTTCTTGCCGCCTGCAGGCTGCTCGTGCGGATGTGGCGTCCCGCCACCTTTCTCGCACGGAGCCTTCCAGAGGTCGTCATTGTTGTCATCCCCGGGGAGAATGGGCAGTCAGTGGGGTGGGTCGTGGTTGTTTTTCTGCTGGGTTGGGCGTGGGGTTGTAATTCGCACGTCGTGGCCTCCATGCACCGAGTTGGCTAGGGGTCACAGTGCCCTGGTCCCGCTATTGTGAGGGGTCACAGTGCCCTCGGTGGGGGCGAACCCCAGGCCTTGTGCTTGGTGTTGCTCGTGCTGGGCTGGGTCGCATCTGCCCTGTGTTCCGCCTGGTCGGCGTTCGGGTGAGTTCGTCCTCCGACATGGAAATGGTGGGGGTGGCGAGCTGGGGCGGACCGCGGGGGCGCGGGTGGTGGCCGTCCTACCCACCCTTCTGCCCCTCACCATCCCCCCTGGCGGGCGCGGATCGTACTCGTCCTGCCCCACCGCCCTTCGAGCCCGTCTCGAGGCTTGATCCTTGTCTCTCCAGGGCAACCGCGACGAGGTCTGTGGTTGCTGGGTGCTGTGGTTGGGTGGTGGGTGTTGGTGGAGGTCGTGGTTGCGTAAAGGACGTATTATTACGTGGCGATTTGTGCCCGAGGTGTTCCCACGCACCCGGGGTTTCCTCAGGATTTTGCGTCCTACCGCCTACAGCTCAACGTGGCGACGTTGCCTGAGATGTTCCCACGCATTCGGGGTTTCCTCCAGACATTGCGTCCTAAAGCAACGGTGTGTACGGGCCACGTCCTGGTGGTGCATGGTTGTGGGCGGTCTCTGGCAGCCGCCAAGTGCCGGACAGGCGCTGCCCTCGCGGTTCGGCAGGATGCTTTAGAAGCCCCGGTATGTCGTGCACTGCGCAGGCGTGGCGAAGCTCGAGCTGTGCGCGATATAGTCGGCTGCCCAGTCTAACTTGCCCCGCTTCTGCCCTCCGATGACGCCGAAGGCCCCGGAGATGAGTTCCCGGACGGAGTGGCCGCGGCGGCCTGCTTCTGCACTGACTTGGCAGTAGGTGGCGCGCACGCGACCACGTTTCGCACAGCGGCCCTCCCAGCACCGCCGCGACCCGTCTTCCCTTGAGCACTCGACTCCACTTAGCCACTGAAGTCTCGTTGGTTAAGTCGCTGAAGGTCGCGTCGCTGGCGACGTCCAGTGACAGTACGAAGAGCGAGTGGCCGTTGGCTACAGATAGTTGTTCGCGCCAATGTCGCATATCCGATAGCCGCGGTCGCCCACTTAACAGGTGTAGGATGTACATGGTGGACGCCGGCGGTATAAGTGGCGGTGGGCCGCTGTAGCACGGGAGGCCCATGCTGGCGTTGTCGCCCGAGGGGTCGTTGTCGTCGTCAAGCCTTTGTGGTTGGGCTTGTTGGAATGGTCGATCTTCCCAGTCGCTGGGCCGTCCCGCGTGTCGGTTCTGTTGTTGCTGCCGTCGGATCGTTTGCCGATTGACCTCGCGCTGGTCTGGCAGCGGCGTCGGCGGCCGTCTCCGCGCGTGAGCGGCGCGGCGCGTGACCTTCACGACGCGCTTGACGACGCGGTTGGTGGTGCGGAAGTCGCGTCCGCAGCCCAGGCATAGAGCGCCGTTTACCCATGCGGCTGAATTGTTGGCGTTGGCATGGCACCGAGCGATGAGGGCTCGAAGTCGCTGCTTGGTAGGTTCGGCGCGCTCGCGCTCGAAGCACGCGTAGGTCGCGGCGCGCTCTGGCTCTTGCCCGCTGAATGCTGGGATGGCGCGGGGCGCGGGTGTAGGCCCAGGCGGCAATCCGCTTCCGCCATCGTTGTAGGCGGTCGTCGTCATATGTTGCAAGTCGCGCTCTGTGCATCATCACCCTGACGCGGTTGACGAACGTCGCTCGGTCGGTCCGGGCCCAGTCCTTCCAGCCGTCGATGGAGGGCTGGCTAGTTGGCTCGCCAGGGTCATTGTGTTCACAGAGCCATGAAATGTCGCGTCGCATTGCCTCCGGCCAGCCGCCCTGGGCCCCCCGCGCCTCCTAGCATCCTCCGAAGGTAGACGGGCCAGTGGTCGACTAATTTCGCGAAGAGGCGGAGCCGCTCCAGGGTCGGGTAGGCCTCGCCAGTGAACCGCTCGACCCCCTCTAAGATCCGTCAGTTGCCCACCAGCTCGTCGCTGTTCTTCATCCATGCCATGCCTTGCCGGCAGCGTAGTTGGCGACATAATTGGCCTCGAACATGCGGGGGCCCGAGCATCCGAGCGGGGGCCAGGCGCCCGAATTGTAGGCCAACTGGGAGAGCATGACGGAGTCCGCGAGGACAGCCTTATCTCAGAGCGTGAATGACCTACCCCGCGTTCGCTTCCAGGCAAAGCCAAGTCACACCACGCGCCTCCTCGTCAAGCGGCATGACCAGCACAGGCCGTAGTTTGGCTTCGATTGGTATCTTTTGGAAGCGAGGGTGGTCAAAAGCGGGGTAGGTTTGTTTGCCCCCCGTGGACGACGTCGACTCCCGGCGAGCCGTCGTCGGTGACCATTGTGCCGAGGGGGCGGTGGTGCTTGACGATCTCGACGACGCTGCGGGCCACTGGAACCTCGATGTGCATGGCCTCCCGTTGGCAAAATATCTTCTCGTGGGCCTTATGGTCAGGCCCGTGGAAGCTGATCAGCACTTTGGTCTTGGACAGCTTGAGCTTCATGCCGAATGTGGCGGTGGCCCGGTAGACGCTCTCGCCGATGACGGCAGTCTCTCGCTCGGCCTGGCTGTGGCGGGAGAAGATGCGGTGGGCGGTGAGGTCATCGACAAACGAGAGGCCGCGGGGATCCCCTTGCAGCTCGTGGCGGCGGTCGTCGTCGCCTTTTCATGTGGGCGCTTCGTCCGCAGGGTTCGCCGCGACGGCGACGCCTTTCTCTCGCGGGATGCGGGGTCAGCATGCCGCGGGCCCTGGAGAAGCATATGTTGAAATCCGCATCTGCTACAAGCACGCCAGGCCTTGTGCCCTTCCTGGGCATCATCACCGCTGCACCGTGCCGATGCGACGTCCCTCAATTGCGGTGTCCCTCAGCGACGAGGGCGGGCAGGTGGGAGACATCCGTCGTGCTGTCAAGGGGCCCGGGAGCTTCGAGGAGCCGCTGCAGCTGCGGCACGATCCACGCGCGCACCTCGACGCTGTCGACGACGCCCTCAAGGTCGTGCTCTTCACTGGGCATCCTGGTGGATGAGCTGCAGAAGAACGCTGTTGAATGCCTCCTAGAAGTCGCGCATACCTACGACGTAGGAGCGGCCCTGCCTCTTGGCCCTCTCCATGAAAAACTTGGTCGCGAGGACTGGCATGTATGCCCCTCGCTTTGGTTGGCCGCCTGTCTGGATGCATTCCAGGATTTGCGCAAGGCAGCCGTTGAGCACCGTCCGCAAGAATTGGTGGTGATTCTTGCCCAGCGCACTGTTGAACATAATCTCCCTGTGGGCTTGCAGCGCGCGCTCGTCGCCCTTGCCATGCAGGGGCGGCATCTACATCGCCGCCCTCGAAGGCGAGCGGCTCGCGGACTGCCACGGCGGCTTTCGCGAAAAGCGGGCGGAGCACTTCTGCGCGTTGGCGGGGCGGCGCGCGCAGCAGGGCGCTGGCGAGGCCGCCTGGCCGCCCTTGGGGCATGGCCCCGCCGAGCGCATCTGGTGCCAGCGCGCGCCGTAGGGCATCGCCGCCTCGACTTGCAGCTTTCCTTGGAAGAACTTGCTGTCGCTGTCCTGGTTGCGCTTGTCGGCTAGCTGCTTCGCCGTGATGACCTTGCCCGCTTGGGCGGTGGCGAAGCACCGCATCTCGCGGCTGGCGACGTCGCCGGATGCGCGCAGCACTTGGCCGTTTGGCCCCCGTCGGAGTGGATGGCCCGCTTTGTCGCGCGCCTTCTTGCCGCCGAAGCGCGGCAGTGCTCAGCGCTGCTGCCATTGACGATACGCGTCGTTCTTGGCCTGGGCGCCCTTCGCCGCGGCCGCGAGGGCGGACTGGAAGTTGCGGCGGTCGCGCTCGACGCGCAGGCTAGCGGGGGGGGCTGTCTCGAGCACGAAGGCGCGCAGCGCCAAGCGGTATTCTGACGGCGGAGAGGCCTGGCTGATGAAGTTAGCCGCTCATTCCTGGAGCCGGTAGATGGCGTGGCTGATGGCGTCGAGCTCCACCGCAATGTAGTTGGCAACCTCTCGTAAGGCCCCACCCTTGTTGGACTTGGCGCGGGCGTGAAGCATGCTAGGTCGGTTGTCAGCGATGATGCCGCGCTTCAGGTCCTTGAGGGCCCTGTTGGCGAGGCGCCGCGCGCGGATGGTGCTCATGGTGCGCGGCGCAATGCAGAGTTTGGGTGTTTTTTGTCGCGCGCCCGAAGGTTTCGAGGGCTGCTTCTTTGCGTCTGGGTCGGCGAACTTGGAGCTGCCTGGGGCGGGTTCGCCCGTGGTCTTCTGTCCGCGGATCTGCCAGCGCATAGTGGCAAACACTGGGGCGTGGTCGTTTGCTGTTGCTCCTTTGTCGAACCGTGGGTTGATGGTGGCTGCGAGAACGTATTTGGCAAGCTGCGCCGAGATCATGATGCAGTCGAGGCGGCGGCGCTGGCCCCTCGAGGCTATGCGCGCGAAGATGCCGAGCCTCTGTCCTTAGTAGTGTTGACGATCTCGAGGTGGTGCACCGCTGCGAAGTCGAACAGCCTAGCGCCCGTCTCGTTCATGGTTTCTGGGAGGCCACCGCTTCCTACCCAGTCGCTTGTAGTCTCGCCAATTCATCCGTTCAGATCGCCTATGACGATGTGGATGGAGTAGACGCTGGTGAGGCGGCCCTTTCTGAATCGTCGCGCGGCGCATGCACCGATGCGATTGTGATCTCGGTGGTCAGGACATTGGTTCTTAGAACCAGGATACGGTCCGACTGGTGGAGTAGCAGCGTCTGTTTGGGGTCCAGCGTCTGGTGCTGGCCGTGCACTGTGAACTGCAGGGTCGCGATGAGCCAAATGCGGCAGCCCTTGCCGAGGTCCTGGCAGCCCGAGGAGTAGCAGGTGCATTGGCCCACTCGCTTCACTTCCCCGTCCGAGCTGGTCTCCTGGAGGGCGACCACGTGGACGCCCATGTCGTCGAACGGGGCAGCCAGGTGCAGCCTCTTGTTGATGGCGGCTGCTGGGACATGACTGCTGGCTGGCCGGCGGTCTGCCCTTCCCGTGCCTTGGCCACGGGTCTCTTGCATGGCCACCTTCGCCTGCCACGACTTGGAGCTGTTGGCGCATAGCTCATGGAATACTTCCGCCTTGATCTGGGCGTCTCCCTGAAGCCGCTGGACCGCCTCTGGGCCGGCCTCGGGCTGGGTGGCGGGGACCACGAATTGGCCGTTGACATTGGGCGGGTAGGCTGCGGACTGCCTGATGTCAGCGTCACGCATCCACTCCCATGTCAGCAGCTTGCCGGCCGTGACTGCCTTCGGCGCGGTGTTGTCGCAGTGAGTGCAGGGGCCCATGGCAGCATGGTCGGCTACTCCATCCACCAGCTCGTTCCATGGGTGGCCGATGTGCGAGTTGATATGTGCCCAAGTGAGTGGCAGCGCTCCCCCGACTAGGTCCGCCATGACCTGGAAGGCAGAACCTAGCTTTTCGCGGGCATGGCTGGTGCCCCCCCCCCCCCCCCCTTGGCGAGCTTGATTACATTGAGCGCGTCTGGCGCGATTGTCACCGGGATCGCTTCCTGCAGGGAGGCTGCCACAGCATGGGCCAGAGTCCCGCAGTGATCTCTGCAGTATAGGCCGTGATCTTCTCCGTCCACCATGTGGTCCGTGGTGTCTAGCACATTGCCTGAAAGGTACCCGTGGAACCCAAACTTGCCTCCGTTCCTGTCATCGTAGCACTCGGCGACTACGATCGCTGCCCAAGCCGCCGTTGTTGGACTTATGTCGTAGCTCCCGTCGGCGCGCAGATGGTAGCGCTGTGCTCTGCGGCCCCGCCGGGTGCAAATCTTGAGGGCCAGCTGGGCCATCTTGCGGAGCGTCGTGTCGTCGAGCTGCGTGGCCAGCTGCAGCGGCCCAAGCTGACGCAGCTTCTCCATCGGCGACACGCGGTCCAGGACTTGCATGACTGCCACGTTGTATTCGGAGGGAGCCCATGGTTGAGCCCAGTCTCCAGGCGGTTGATCGGGCCGTGGCCGTCGCTGTCGTCGTCGGCTGCACTGCTCCGCTGCGGCGTGCTCTGGCTGAGCTGACCGGGCTTCGGCCAGGGGGCCTCCGACCGCCGCGGAGATGCAGCCAAACGGCCTCATCGCTGGCCTGGTTGGTCTCAGGGCGGTCCGCCAACCCTGCTAACATTCCCGTTCCTGCTGCGGGGCGTCGAGCTGCAAGCGATGATGGTGGCGTCGGCTTGATTGTCTGAAGGGCATCATTGCTAGTCGTCGCTTGCAGTGCTGGTGTTGGGTTGGTCGGGTGCATTGTGGGGGTGGTAGTGTGTTGGTCTGGTCGGAAGTCTGGCTGTTTGTTTCGTTTGGTCGGTTGGTCGTGGTGTAGGTGCTCTGCTAGTAGTGGTGATGTGTGGTTGTTGGTAGCACCCGGTAGGCTTCCATGCGTCGACTTCAAGAGGTAGTCGCTGCGGTCCCACCTCGCCCCGCTATGGCCAGGGCCCACTGTGCCCTCGCTGGGGGCGAACCCCATGCTTCGTGCTTGATGTTGCTCGTGGTGGGCTGGGTCGCGACTGCCCAGTGCTCCGCCCCCTTGGCGCTCGGGTGAGCTCCTCCTCCGCCATGGGAATGGCGGGGGTGGCGAGCCATGGCGGACCGCGGGGGCGCGGGCGGGGCCGCCCCCGCCCCCCCCCCCCCCCCCCCGCGGTCCCTCACCATCTCCCCCAGCGGGCGCGGGCAGTCCTCGTCTTGCCCCCCCCGCACTTCGAGCCCGCCTCGAAGTTTGTCCCCTGCCTCTCCAGGGCATTCGTAGCTGGGTCTCGTCGTTGCTTGATTGGGTGGCTGTTGTTGGTGGAGGTCAGGCTTGCGTGCAGGGCGCATGGCGTGGTCGTCATCCTCAGCGAGTGGGCTGAAGCGGCTGCTGATTTGGAGTGGGGTAGCGCTGGCGCGCGCGGTTGGTCGGGGCCTGCGAGACTGCCTCATCCGCCACCGCTGCTCGGCGTCGTTCTGGGCGTCGCGGGGGCAGTTGTACAGGTCAGGGGCCTGGTGATCGGGCATCCGTTGCTCGCCGTCGAGGAAAGTGTACTCGATGCCGTCGAGCTCCGGATACTGAAGGCCCAGGCTAGTCGTAGGTGTGCTGAGCTGAACTGATTGGGCAGCGTTGGTCCCGTCGTTTGTATTACTGCAGATTGGTGCTGCGATCTCGGGCGTGTTGTCGTGGTGGGTCCAGTCGCTTGTGCCGCCACCACCGCTGCCCAATATTGTAAAAAGAGATGGTGATGGTGTAGCCTGCGTGGGTCAGGGTACTGTTCCCCGTCCCTCGGGCGCCTTCGAGCTAAACTAGCCGGTCGCCTGTCGGTTGCGACTCCCTGGCGAGGCCGTGTCAGGAGTGGGTTGATCCCGCGGATCCCGCCTAGCTGTGGGAGGCGGGCTGTCGATTTCTTCCTTGGGAGATCGATGGCGGTATGCGACGAGGCCGCCGTGGCCTTGGGTCACACTGCCGCACGGGCTGCAGGCGTCGAGTGCCGTCCTGAAGGAGTATCTCAGGTGGGCGTCGTGCTGTTGGTCGGCATTCGTCGCTGTGGCCAGTGAGGCTTGGTGCGCCGTGCTGCGTGGATTGCGGCGGTGTGATGCCGTCCTGATGGAGTCGCTCAGGTGGGCATCGGGCTAGGGGATCGCCGAGATATTGCACTCTGGAGGCGATCGGTGGTGGTTGTTGGTACGGCTTGTCTGTCACTCGGTTGAATGGGCGACTGCCACTGTCCTCCTGCGGGGGTATTTCAGGTAGACGTCGGTTAGCTGTGTCGCCGATGTCTTGCACTCTCGAGGCGACTGGTGCAGCTGGACTGTGTGATCGGCTAGGTATTGGCCTACGAACATCGGTCCCCTGATGTCGTGGCCAGTAGCCGTCAATGAGGCCCGAGGGAAGTCGCTTCGGTGCCTCAGTGGAGCGTGCTGCTGCAAGTTGGGCTTTGGTTCCCATTGTTGGTGAGCCGTACTCTTTTTATGATTTGTTTTTTTTGCTGGCTTGGTTGCTGGTACGTCGCAGAGTGTCGCAGTCGTAACGGTGGTGGGTAGGCGAACGTCCTAAGGTACTCCTTAGTGCAGCTGTCGCTGATGTCTGGTGCATGCCCACCCCAAGGGCCTGCATCGCCGGCGACTCTGTCCGTGGTGGTGAAACGGTTGGTTGCGTATGATTGTGTTCGGCAAGTCAAGAGCCGTGGGTCGCAGGGAATCACATGCGTAGCTTCAACACTGCACTGGTCGGAGAAGCAGGGCTTGTGGTCCTGTGGTGCCGCTGGTGTCGGGTAGTAGGCGCCATGCTGAGCCAGTTGCCCCTCAGCCGGCGCTCTCGTGCTATTTTTCTTGGGGTGGGCCAGGCGACGTCGAAGCCGTTGCTCTCGCCGCTCACGAGGAACTTGGGGTGCCTGTCACCAGGGCCTGCGAAACCATCGCCCGTGCCGCGGATCCTGACCTTCCTGGGCTGACTCTTGGCCCGTCCCCGTCCTGCTTCCCGTCGCATCGAACTGCTGAGCGGGTGCTCAGAGGATGTCCTCTCTGGAGTCCCCTGTGGAACCTGGGCGGTGGGCACTCGGGGTCGAAAGGCTCATTGGGCGTGATGTCGGCGATGGGGATCCTAGGTGGCGTAGCTGGCGCTGCCTGCCCTTCAGTGCCCCGGTCGATGAGGATCCTGGTTTGCATGTCGGGTTTGGGTGGCGGGGTTGGGAGCTGCGTCGCTGGTGGGAACGGCGTCGCCCATGGAGTCTGCTGCTCGGTCGGAATGGGCGTGTTAGCGTCGATCGTTTGGGTAACTTCTGCTAGGTCAGTGGGCGTCGGAGTGGGCGGAAGTGGATGCTCGTCTTGAAGATCGGCGTCGTCGGTGTCGCCGACTGGGACCATCTGGGAGTCCTCTATGAGAATGGGTCCCAGTGGCGGCGGTGGAGTTGTGGGTGGCGGTGACGGTGGCACCCCCCTTGGCGGTGGGGTCGCGTTGCTCTCTGTAGGTGCGACTCCGAGGTCTTGCAGGCTGAAGTCGCTGTCGGGCGTAGTCGAAGGCCTCGACGAGGTGTGCGACCTCTCGCCAAAAGAGCAGGCAGCAAGCTCGCACGCGTAGACCGCTGTTTCCTGGCGCGGGCGCTCGAACTCCGTAGTGGGGAGGATGGTCATCGAGTTGTGATCGAACTCCTCGCGTCTGTGGTCCTCCTCCTGGGCTGCCAGCGTTTGGTCGCGGTGCATAACTGCGTCATCGTCCGCCAGCTTGGCCGCCATCTTGTATCCAGCTCCAGCGTCTCGCCCGTCAGAATACTCGACATAAGGGCGCGCCTGCGGGCGCCTTCGAGCTCCGCCGTCTCCTGCTCGTGGCGGACCTGCATCCCCCATTGCCTCCTCGCGTTTTCGTGCTGGACCCACTGCAGGTGCTGGTAGGCGTCGTGCTGCGCTCGCTCTGCCTGTTGCTAGAGGTGGCAGCCATGCCTGGCCGACGGCAGCCATGTACTGGCATTGGTCTTCACGCGCGTGCTAGGCCTCCTCCTCGATGCGCCGCTTGCCTTGCCGGTAGGCCTCGGCCTGCTCCATGCCAAACTCGACGAGGCGCCTCTCCTGCTGCGCGTGGTGCGTCTCCATTACCGCCTGTCTGGCCTGGAGCTCGAGGATCATCTCTTGTCCCACCTGGGCCTCCTGTTGGCCCAGCTCCGCCGCGCGCTTCGCATCCGAAGCTCGTGCCTGCTGGGCGAGGGCTAGCGCTTCACCCTCCAGCTCTGCTTGGGTCTGGTGGCAGCGCTCTCGCTCTTGGCGTGCCATCTGCAGGCACTCCTCCTCGCCTCGCCCAGCCCTGTTCGCGGCCTCGACCAGCACTCGCGGGCCCCTGGCTGGAGCTCCGCTTCTGCCCTCGCAGCGCTTCCTGGGCCTGCGTGGGCGAGGCGGCGCTGCATCTGCCGCAGTGCTGCGCCAGCCTCGCCCTGCTGGTGCTGCTGGCTCCCGCTCTGCCACTTGCGGTCTCGGTGGGCGGCGCTCCTAATCTCGTCAACTTCGCGTTGGTGAGCTCTCAGTTGGCGCTCCAGCTGCCCAGAGACTGCGTGCAAGGTCTTCTGGGCCATGGCCTGATCGCAGCTGCGCAGTCTGATCGCATGCCTCTGCTCCATCTCCATCAGCTGGGCGTTGAGCCTTGCAGTCTCCTTTGGATGGCCGGCAGGCTAAGGGGCCGCTGGTGGCCTAGGGCGGGCTGCTGCCTTTGGCGGGGACTCTGGGCCCTGCAGCTGCGTCGGCCTGGGGGGCCTGGCTGCGGCTGGATGCGGTGTGCGCGCGTCCTCTTCCTCTGTTCCGCTTCTTCAAGCTTGTTCCGCATCGGATCCAGCTTCAGACTCCGAAGGCTGGCCACTGGCTGCGATTATCGCCAGCATGTCCTTGGTCTCGCGGATCAGCACCTTGTAAATCCGCACGACCCTCGTGGCCTTCGCCTCCTCGTCCAGCTGCGCTGCGATCCTGGTTTGGAGACTGGTGAGCTTCTCTCCGGCCCGCTCCAGGGTGCAGCGCAGCTGGCGGAGCCTCTCTTTCGGTGGGATCACGAATTGTGATGTTCGCCGCCGTGACCGCTGCCTCATACTCCTCCTCCTCCTCCTCCCCCCCCTCCTCCTCCTCCTCCTCCTCCTCCTCCTCCTCCTCCCCTCCTCCTCCTCCTCCTCCTCCCTCCTCCTCCCTCCTCCTCCTCCTCCTCCTCCTCCTCCTCCTCTCCTCCTCCTCCTCCTCCTCCTCCTCCCCCCCCGCCTCCTCCTCCCTCCTCCTCCTCCTCCTCCTCCTCCTCCTCCTCCTCCTCCTCCTCCTCCTCCTCCTCCTCCTCCTCTCCTCCTCCTCCTCCTCCTCCTCCTCCTCCTCCTCCTCCTCCTCCTCCTCCTCCTCCTCCCCCCCGCCTCCTCCTCCTCCTCCTCCTCCTCCTCCTCCTCCTCCTCCTCCTCCTCCTCCTCCTCCTCCTCCTCCTCCTCCTCCTCCTCCTCCTCCTCCTCCCCCTCCTCCTCCTCCTCCTTCTCCTCCTCCTCCTCCTCCTCCTCCTCGTCCCCCTCGTCCCCCTCGTCCACCTGTGGATGCCACGCCTGCGGATCGGGTTCCTGCGAGGGTGCCCGCCGATCCGGCGAGGGCGCCGGCCGCGAGTCTTCCGTCGGG